GTATTAGTCAATCGTCACCCTGATTAGGGTTGTTGTATTCAGCGACGCCGTTTTCCCTCTAGCCGTTACATCTCCGGCTCCATGGTTTTTGTTGTCATTGCGGCTGAATACAATTTGCGTGTCACTAAATCTGTCGTCACACCCTTCTGCTGAAGTTGCGTAGCTGTTCCATTACCGTCATTGTTCGACGACTATCATGATCATCATCATCATTGTTATTGTCGACAATACACTGCATATTCGTTCACAATGTTGTCTGCTTTTCGATGGCTTGTTGTCTCTCTGATCTCTGTCGTACTCACTGGTTTTGCCGCTAATTCAGCGCTATCATCGTACTCGTATTCCCTATATTGTTCCTGTATTAGTTCTGCTTCTACTCCAGATTTTGCTATCGATAACCGCTCATTGCTATCAAGCTAACTATTACCCGGCCGTTACCGTTGTATAAGCCCAATTTCGTTTTTCTTTTCGTACTTTTTTAGAATCCTCGAAATGTAAGCTTTCTTCACTACTCTATAATTGTTCAACTTAAATAAATGGCCTTTTTTCAAGTTTTACTGTTATCGCAAGTCAATGATCGCACTATGGAATTTATTGTCTATTGACGTACGTGTTCTTCCGTTGATTTTGGCCATCGTTGCACGTCAATGTTATTAGTATCATCGTTGTGGTTGTTTTTGAGATGCTGGTGGTTGTGCGCGTGGGACCGTTCGACTTATGAAATAAGTCGAACTATCATGAAATGATAGTCACCTCTCCGCTCAATTAATGGACAATAGGCCTTTTAATAAAAATCCAATTAATAATACGTCAACTGCTTGAACGACTGGCCGACCGTAGCGGCGTGCCACTAGCTGAGGCGACAACGACGTTCGACTTCCTTCGATTAGTTCGCTCGGCATCAAACGCACACGCGACGGCACGCCGCCGCCGCGGTCGTCGTCTGCGTTACCGACGCTGAAATCGACGGCTTTGTTGTCGTTGCCATCACCCAGCCGCTACACCACGGATGTTTGCATGCAGCTTCCACAAGATATTAGTGCACGATAGAAAATGCGTTCGGCGACTATATAAGAAATGTACAGGGAATGTTTAGTTAAACGGCCACGTTGTCTTGGCACATTTCTTTCGATGTCCGTGTACTTCAATGGCTCCCAGTTTGCTAGTCGACCAAACAACAAACAGTTTATGGGACGAAAGGCCCAGCTACCGATTCTTCTGTAAAAGGGGGAAATGAGCGAGAAAGAAGTTATTACGGGTTGAGGAGGCCGCAGTACGAATAAACGCTTGACCGGCTGGTTAATTAAATAGCCGAACCTTCTATTATGGCGGCTGCTTTCACTTCGTTGCATGATCGCTGGTGCGCTTTGATATTCGCGTCGTACCGAGCACGTCAAAACAAGCACATTGTAGTATACGAAATGTATGGTGGAGCGACATTTAAGTGTGTACCATACGAGACTGAGAAAACTGATTGAAGAAGGTTATTAAGGTTATACAGTATGGACTTGCCTGGCCCATTCGTGCAGCGACGGAACTCTGCGGGGGCATTGCACAATACAATGCTCCATAGTTAAAGCAGCAATGCAAATAACTTACTCGTATTCAATTTCGTTCGGATAAACAAAGCACGCAATATTATGGAATATAATGAGATTGATAACGTCGTAAGTACGATACGATAACAATAATGCTGACAGTGGAAAAAAAAAAAAACTGCCGACTTTTATAGTATTACAATTAATAATAGTGGCTGTGAAATAGATCTCGCTCAGTTAAGTTTGTCACGTGTTCGACTAGCCGTTCCTATTAACGACGGTATGACCATGATTAGCTCTAACTGTAAAAACGTGATCCGCGAAGGGGAAGGCGCCGTCGCTCACCCTCCTACCGTCACGCCAAAGCTCCCCTCCCTGTTCTGCTACCCACTGTGATTTTCCAATTGCGCCTGGCTGAAACGTAATGTTCGTTGGCCAGATAACTACTTTGGCCATCCGTACTGGATGCATTAAACATATCCATCTTTTCGAGATCGCCCTTCAAATAGCGTTTCTATTCATTCACGTTAAAGAGCGCCGAGATGGCTGATTAAAGGTCATGGCCGGAGGCAACTACTAATGCGTGGAAGGGGTGACGTATATATATATATATATATATAGTTGTGGTCGGGCAAGCCACTAGCGTGTTCGTGAATTATTACTATTCAGTTAGTCATATAATGCCAAGTTATTAATAAGTCGGTATTATGTCTTAGGCAGCTGGTGGTAGGGTGTATCGTACTCGAATTGACTAGTATGCTACATGTCCTATGCGGGACTGTCGTTATCAAGGCACACTTCTCTAGTAAGCAGCTTTCAACTTTAGTAGTTGGGCCAATTGCGCTGACTGCTGACGAAAATACTCACCATATACGCCAGATAGATAGATAGATATATGTATATAAGCATTAGCAGATTCTCATCAGTATTCCCCATTCTGAAAAATGACCCCTTTCATGGCTATAAGCTTGCACATTGTTGTTGTCATGATATTGCTGCTGCTGCTGTTGCCGGTTCCATGGTTTCTTCCGCTATTTTTCTCTTCATTGCTTCGTTGGGCCTGTTTTGACTTTTGTAAAAGGACTGCATGAAGAAGAATTGTGCGTAGGCAACAATAACAGCAGACAAGCGGCGTTGCATCCGTCCGACGTGTTCAAACATGTCTACAGCTGGCGTCGTACGAGCGGTTGACGCGATTCTATGATGGCATCTGATCTATTGATGGTACTTGATTGACGTGCATGGCACAAACATGACTTCGTAACATGATTTCGCAAAGTGGCTTTTAACTGAATCCACGTGTACATGGACACGAACTATATTGGAGGACATCACTGACAGCGATCGAGTCACAATGTCTAGGTAGCTAAGATTTTCACCGACCAATAACACTTGCTGTAAAAATGTCAGCAAAGTGACATCGGGCTGTCCAGTCCCTTTTGACATCACAGGTTTTTCTTCAATTTAAGGGCTGTGCCAACCTGGCTGGAAACAGCTGAAATTATAACATACTGCCCTGTCGATATTGTGACACGTGTAATTTCCCGTAAAAACAATTCAACAGTAACTTAAGAACGGCCTATACTAGCAGTTTGTTTGTTAGCTAATAATGTTTTCAATAAAATAAGACGTTTAACATTACGATTATTGTTATAATTATGATTTTCTCTTTTCATTGTTCTAGAGTGGCGCGAAGTGTCAGTATGCGAAGCCTGTGAAGCCGCACATTCTTTGGGTCGACCCTATTCATCAGATGCTCGCCTAAACGAGTAGATGCTGCAGCTAGCGTCATTTGCCGATTCGCCGGCACCACTGCCTCTAGGACCGGGTGTCCGTTAACCATCCGGAAACAAGGTTTCGTCGTTGTCAAGAACTTCTTCCAGCTGGCACCATAGAACTTCCGGCGATACTCGATACCAGTGTGGTAAGCAGATGATAGCACACGTTTTCATGAAAGCCATCTGATTTTCTTCTGCTGCACGCGTACGTCTTACAATAGAATCTAGCCGAGAACATGAATGCCTCGTCTTTATCTCTTAACATACAAGATACGTACACAAATCCAACCTGGTACACTCACGCACAGAATTGACAGTGGCTCGTCGATCAACAAGTGTCCCTCTTTTCGTCTTATAGAGCCACGTGTGTGAAATGTCAAAAAGATAAACGATAGGCACGTGGACACGCATTGATCAATGCGCTATTGCTAATTCTGCCAATGATCACATTCGTTTCATATCTGTAGTGCTAAACCGAATCAACAAACGGAAAATATCTTTTTCCACTGTCGTAGCTCACATTTCTGTGTGTCGCTCCCTTGAAAAAGTTAAAATACGATGCAAACAACAAAATCTCGCTGGCTAACATCGGTACAGGTCCGTGGACGAAGGTGTAGGTATGCGAACCTACTCTAGGGTATTTCATAAATACGGTCCGTAACGGAGACAAAAGACGACTTGCGCGTCGAAGCAGTAGCAGCAGCAGTCGCAGAAACGATAACTTTAATAGCAGCGGGCCACTGACGACGACGCTCAACGGACGCTCAGCTGGTTGCAACGGTTAGAACACCCACAGTGACTGAACCCTTCTTCACGGGTAGTATTATTTCAATGGGCCTGAACACTATTCGCACCTCGTCATGAGGGCAGAACGATTTTAAACCTTTGTCCTGTACTCTCCCTATCGATTATATGAACACCCCACACGATTCTATGCAAGCGGCAATGGCGTGTGCGGTTTCCACCACTAACATCAGCCGACAGCATCATTGTCATGGTAGTAATAATCGACCACAGCACTTCTGGATGGCGCTTATATATATATATATATATATATAGCCCAAAAAACTACGAATAGTGGTAGCTACAGTCAGCAGAACGGCGACAATAGCCGGAGTGGTTGTGGTTAGCGTGCTATGGCGGATGATAGAACAACAATTTTACCATGTAAATTTCCTCTCTTCCCGAACCACCTGTGTACCTGACGCGTTTAGAATATGAAATCTATCCATGATATTGGCAAATGATTGCGAGCAGGGCTAAATTGGAACGGTACATCTGATGCAGTAACAAGCGGTCGAGCATAGTCAATCATTCACGTTGATCATGTACTGATTAATTTTGTCTGAGTCGGCTTGATCTTCTTAATCGATCACGGTGATTCGATCGCCCTAACTAATGGCGATCTCACTCACTTATGGGGCATATCGATTGACGACGATCCGACCAATTGATCCAGCCTTTAGAGCTTTTGATACGGTGCTCGTATACATGTATACATCAAGATACATATAGCATTTTCAATGAAACGGGATTCAGATTCCACGGTTGAAACGGCTGCAGATTTTACTATTGATGAATACTTGCACGAAGCTTGCTCTGAGCGAGTATCTACTAATCATTTGCACGCAATTTAGGATATCTGAAAAACTCTCGAGTGTTAGTAAAACAACAGCAAAAGTACCTGTCTCGTCGATGAAGCAAAACTGCTAGAGGGCTGCCAGGAAGCGGATCTGGATTTTTCGCTGAAGACGGAAGGACGGAGCTGGACTGTCAGCACGCACAGTTTCATGCAAGAAATTCACGTGCATCTATTGCATTTCCGCGTGCTAAAGAAGTAGAGAAAGCCGACTAGGTCAGCATACTAGACATGGTGCCGCACAACAGCGAGAATAATGCAGACACAGGCGGCTGAGTACACGATACAGATCAGCATGTTGCTGCTGCTGGGTCGAATGCTACACTAGACCGGGTCGGCGTTAATGGGCAAACAGCAATCGCTCGGTGACTCGTTACGGTGTTTTTCTACCGGACGCTGTCCTCTTGGCTGTACACACGTGTTCTTGTGCAGATTACGTTTAGACCTCCTTCGACAGTTAGTAGGGCCACTGGACGACGACGCTAGTGACTACTGACTCTGCTTCACATCTAAAGTGCGCTACATGTGACTGCGCAGTACGTACCACACCGCACAACTACAGGCAGGGAAGCATTTCTGACACGGTCCCCATGTCCTTATTGTTGTCGTCGACGTTGTTGCTATTGTAGTTGTTGTTGTTGACGTCGTCGTGGAAGCCTTAAATCGGCAGCGACAAGAAGAAACAAAGAACCTTTCCTACATCGGGGGCGACTGCGGGGGCCACAGTAGCAATGGCGACAGAACTATTTAGTCGTAAGAAAGCTTCGTTTCATCTGCTTTCTGACACTCTTTGTGATTTGCTTTTTTCCTGCAGCGCATAGCATTGACCTATAACGATGAGGATGACGACGACAAAAGAAAAACCTTTCCGCTGAGGGAACAGTGCAGCACCGTTAAGATAGACTGGCTGAGCACGTTTTTGCAAGAGATAAAAATCTCCATGAAAAAGATGTGAGCGAAGCGCTCGGTCTGCTGACATTGGCGTTGCCTTTTAGTCAGTTCTCTGTATTCATTGTCGGAATTGTCGTAATCGTGCAGTAAGTGGCTAGCCTGGCGTGGCCTACCCTATCTTCTTGGCCTGTCTGTCTTCCTTAACGTTCTGCTGATACCATCGTCAACTAAGCTATTCGTAGTATTACATGTAGTGGCCGTGATGCTAGTTCACTGAGATGGCGATTCAAACAACGCTAATAGCCGTAGATTCTGTCTGATCTCGCGGCCGCGCCGACGACGAAGAAGAAGACGGCAGTAGCCGCTGCAGGAAGATCGCTTCTGACAGCCGCTGCTGCTGCAGCAGCCCTCGCCGGACCGAGGTGGTAAGGGACTGACTGGACAACCAACAAGACAGAGCGACAGGCAGTTGTGCGAGAGGCTACTTCAGTAGATAGCGTTAAATAAGCAAAGAAACAGCGATTTGTTTGCATAAACTACTCTGATGGTAGTGCATATTCGCAGCGGCGCTGGTATTTGTGGTGACAACGGCGGCGGCGGCGTCGGCGGGCCAGTAGCAGTGGAGAATTGTCGCACGAGGAGTTCATGCGACGGCTAGTGCTATCAACTCATACAGACAGCCATTGCAGCGGCTTTGCTTTTAGGGAACCAGAGCTTGGATCAAACGAGTCGAGCACATTTTGCGTTGGCAAAAACCCCACACGTACTTACACATAGGCTACGGTTCACTGTCTGAATATTCCATAGCTAGGACACGCTCGACATACGGGGCTCGAGCGCGTCCCTTTAGTTCTAGTGGCACTAGCATTAAGTAGGACAACACGTTGACTGACAGAAATAACCCGTCGTAAGTATAGCGTAGGAAATGCTTATATCAGAAACAGCAGCAAAACAAGTAGCGACGGTCTTCTCGGACCTGTACTGAGACAGATCAGAAGGTACACGAGTATCGTTGAAGAGGCGCCATGCTGCTCGGATCATGCAGGGGACAAGATAAACACCACGTCAGTGTACACAATAATGTACAAAAATGTGTCTACGAGTAAACCAATCAGGCCACATCGATGCTAAATGTAGTTACTACGTGAGCGTATTTTTTAAAGGTTTAAGCTAGAGAGATAAGAAAGCAAATGAACAGAAACGAGCGTAAGGGCTGTATCCTTCCGAATATATCTAGACCTTAATGATCAATCGAGTATATAAAGAAATATGCTTCTCGTCATGCATCTTCTGTTCATTAACTGCTTAATTTCAGTCATTATAGTCACTATTGCTTCATCCTGAACATCGTGCCCTGATTACGCATTACACTTGCGCTTAGTGCCACTGCGATTACTAGAAAATAAGCGCCAGAGTGTTGAAGGTCGCAAGCTGACACTCAGAAAAGTCTATAGTTTTATTCTGAATTAGGTTTGGGCAGGTCTAGATGGTTCCGGAAAGGGTGGAAAAACTCTTAGTCGACATTGGAAAGCGTGGATCAAAGAAGTCTTGAACTGTACAATCTCTCACACGCAGCCCGTTGCGAGCATAGATGTCAACTATCGCATGTCTAATATAGATAATCGCGTACAGACCCTGGGCGAAAGGTTAAAGCGTTGGCCGTTTGTCCGGTTCAGGACAGATAGCCTGTAAAGAAAGAGATAATGGCTTAGTTTCACGGGTGATGGAATTATTAACGATGCGATAGAAGAGCACCGGGCTTTCACTCCGGATGGGAACCGATTCAAATAAGGTATGCTCAAGGCACAGGAGATAGACGTCCTGTCGATAGCTATCCGATCGAAGAACCGATAGAGCTCAAAATCTCTTGACCTTCGCCTGCGAGCGGTATCGCGGCTAGTGTGACCCTTCTCTCTACAGTACTATATGGTAGCTAGAGAGAGTGAGGTTCAGCCGGTATATGGATGTGACTGCATCACTGAATCTGTTACCCACTTCTGCTTCGTTCTTCTCTCAATTCGTTTACATTCTCAGGGTTCAGGTCCCTAAGGTATTTGTTTTCGAGTTACTGTGACTGCTGCTTTCTTGTCTAGCGCTCTAACTCGCTGAATTGCTGGCCTGGACTGGCAGACGCTTAACGGCGCTCGCCCTTTGCCTCAAAAACAAGTGGAAAGCTGATGGAGCTAACAGATCTTGAGCGGCAGTGCTGGTAAAGGCGTTGCTGATAATGGTGACGACGACAAAGCGGCAGCGGCGAGTTCGAGCTCTCAGATAAAACGGGTACTACGGAATGATGAGTGAGTAAGCACTGATTGCGATAATCTCTTTTATATTAGAACTGGCTAGCTGCTAGCACAGGTCTGACGGCCTGTCACGCCCTGTAGTCGCTCGTTTAGTCCCCCTCATCTTTCTGTTTTCTTTTGTTCCTTCGCAGTTCATAGATGCGAGGCTGGCGTAAACAATCGACTCACCGACGAACCGGTCGCTCAAGCTACAGCCAGAGGCTGCTTGCAACGCTTTGCGGCTGGTTGTTCGGTAAACCATGTGGGGCGATTTGCAGAAGGAACAGATTGGCAGAGGGGAGCCGACAGCCAGCGACCAGCTAGCGACAGTCAACCAACAGCAGCGAGAAAAAGAGAAAGAACAAAAGCGAAGAGAATTCGCTTGCTGTTAGTGAGGCAAGGGGCGAAGGAGGTTCATGGGGTACAGCAACTTCTATAGCCGTTTGACCCCCGGGCAGGCGAGCAACGAGCCTAAACGCACTTATTCGGCTCTCCAGTTCATGGGTCGTGCTGGTCAGCTGTCGTCGTTCAGAACTACCAGAACTACCTCCCATGTTTCCTCATGCTTAGTACGTAATATCCCGCACACAATGCTGGGTTTTGCGGGCTCATTAAACAGCCATTTCATATCCGTAACCCAGGGGAGTTTCAGGGATGTAACGAGTTGAAGCTTGAATGAGGCCATCGGCTATGCTTAAGGCCCGTTGAGTCAAAACAGCCAGTCGGAACTTCGAAGATTAGACATAACAAACGCCGCCCGACATAACATGCGATGCTCCAAGCAAGGCTGTCCGAGTTCCTTCCCCCCCCCCCCGCCCCCATTTTCCTTTCCTCTTCGCCGTTACCACGCCACCTTTCTAACAAGATACAAATGAGAGATTTTTTTTACCTAACCGGCTAAACCAAAATTAACGAATTCCTTTACTACAACTACTGGACCAATCTCCTAAGTTAGAAACGGTTACGAGTACCCTTTCCATTTAGCTGTACTTGGCCCAATAGTCTACTAGTAAGCGATAAAGGGACAAAATGTAGGCAACAATTTGGAATTTTGGGAGATTTGTGGAACTTAACCCACCAATCAGTGAAATTCCTGGCCAACCGTGTTGTTCCCATTAAACCAACTGCATATTGCTCCTCCTGGGAACGTTGAAGGCGCCTCGCTGAACGGACACTCGCATACAGCAGTGTACTCTCTACAGCAATACCACCTTAGTCAGACAGCATAGGGTCATGGCTGGTTTGTATGTCTGACACTGGCGTAAAGCTCTTATGTACGATGTGCTGCCCTACCTACTTCGATAGTCTCCCCGACCGGGCAAATGCTGCTGACGAAATAGAACATCCGTCATATTCATTTCGCTCCTTTGTTAATGGTTACAGAGTCCATAAGTGCGCATACATAATAGTAAATTTAGAAAGTTTAAACATTAAATTACGAGGGCAAAAATTCATAGGCCGGAAGTAGAGCCACCGCCAATAGCATGCTCAAGGTGCGACGACCTCCTAGGTTAGTTACCTGACTAGCCTATTCTAGTTTACGCATATATGGAGTATAGAATCATGTCAGGTCTACATAAAATCGTCCACTGTGGCGTTAGCGACCAAAAATGTCATTTGGCTATTAACTGATGTTAATATCCAAATTACTGCCACGAGGGCTGCTGATGCCGACGAGTAAATTCGAAAAGGTGGAACGCATCAGTAAGAGCAGGTAGTCAGCAGCAGAGCATAGGTTCTGCAATTGTTCGTGTGCAAGAGACGTAAGCAGCAGGCTGAATAGCTGACTGACTAACTAGATGGGTAGGTGGGCGTATGGGTCTGGGTGTTGCGTTGATGTTCTCGTCGCCAGCAGCTGCTTTTTCAGCCTCTATGTTGTATGACTAAAGCCGCTGCTGTTAGTGGTGGCAGTGGATGAAACCGGATGTCCTACCGGAAGTTAAAAAAAATTCGGGAGAGAAGACTCAAGGCGGCAGGACGATACTCGAGGGGTACGACGGCGAATACAAAGCTCAAAGTAGGCTTCGGTTACACATGTGGCAGCGATAGTAGTTGTGCTGCACAGAAATAGAAAATGAGCTTTTGCAAAATACTCTATGACATATAAACTCTTCAACTACGCCTAAGTAAAATTAAAAGGGATGTCAGAGATGGCGTACACGCAACTACAACAATGAGAAATGAAAAGATCTGTTCGAAAGAATCGTTATTGAGTAAACAGGATACAATGTGACACAAGAGATGGACCAAACACCGGCTAAATAGATAATTCAACGCAGGTCAGGTATATGTACGGAAGGAGCACACATATATATATATATATATATATATATATATGTGTTTTTTCACTTACTCATAAGTTTTACATTTATT